GCACTACCCTAGAATAATAATTTGACACTTTGAGAATCTTACCCAGAGTCAATAAAATTGTTTATAATCAGCATAGGATCTCCTCAAAAACTCAGCTCTTTCGGAGTGGTATTTTTTACAGTTCATTTGAACACAGTTGCTGTTCAAAGTGAGAACTAGAGCAGATAATTTGTTGTTAATTTGTAACAAATGTGTGAAGCAGATTTTGAGCCAAAGCAGAATTTCCAAGATACTTCGCCTCTTTGTTGAAAGGAGCTAGATATAATTTACTTCCTTTGGCCTTTTAGAGTTCAAAGTTCTTGTAGCAAAGAATTACGTATTTCTGCGTCTGTTGTCTTTTTACCATGTGGTAAGATGTAGATATGATTCTTGTGGTGACAGCTGGAAATAAACTGTTAGATCTTACTGAGTTTCCTCTGCTGACACAGCGCTTAGCATTTGAGGGGCTCTCTCTAGGACAGACTACACTATAAAGTTAGCTTTGCCACAAGGCATTGTCACCTAACATGGATTTTTCCATGAGTCCAAGGTATCCACACTCTTGTATATATATGATCAGGAGACCCACAGTCCCCATGTGATCATCCTCTGAACCATTGATTCCCAGGCTTCAGTGTAGAGACTACTGCTTGGTAAAAATTACAGTTCCTCTGTCTACAATAAGGTCTTGAAATCAGTACTTCTAAAAAGCCTCCCAGGTGATGAAACTTAATTTGGAAGTCAGTGCTCTAAAGTAAAATATATACAGAGGATTGGGGTCTATCCCACAGAAACATCCTCAGATGAAGTGGTTATAACTGACTCAGCATTCCAAATGATGCTTGTTCCTTGTGTACTAGAGAGTATCTTTACATGAAAAATTAAAAATAATTTTGAAATCCCTAATTAAAGATGAAATACTTTTATTACACTCAATATTATTTATTGTTATTTCAGAATTCAATGTGATTTTTACATCATTATTTATTAATTAGCAGTGGGCCTATTAACACCAAGGCCCACAGGACTGAATATCTGGCTATAATTATAGTTGGACTACTCTCAATCTTGGGCAGAGAAAGTTCTCCTAAAGACAGACAGCCACAGGTGTTCCCTAAAATAGAATTTACCTAGAAACTGAGTTAAAGGTGTAACTCTAGTTGTAAGTACCTCGGGTCCATTATTCATTCTTTTATTTCTTTGTTCAGCAAACACTTATCAAATACAGTCTATGTTTCAGGCACTGTATAATCGATACCAGAGACCTGAAAATAAGTAAGACTTAGTCCTTGACCTTGAGGAATTCACTAGACTACCCTAGTGGCAGAGATATACATGAAAACAATTAATTACAATAGAGATATTTGTATTGTTGAGCATGGAGAGATGGAGTAGGTCAAGCCCCACAAGCAGCCGTGGGGCGAGTGGGCGGGGGGAACAGAGTGAGGGACAGCTGGCAAACACAAAGAATAGCACAGGTGCATCGCATGAGACACCAGTTACTGCTGCCTTTGTCCACAAGCCCTGTCAGGAATATCTAAATTCTGAGCAGATTACCTGAGCTATCTAAAACTTAACTCATTATCCATCCCTCTCAGAAAACAAAAATCCTGCTTCTCTACATGTATTTCTAGATTTGTGACTGGTACCCCCATTCATACAGTCGTTCCAGCCAGAAACCTGGGAGTCTTCCTCATCTCCTTCTTTACTCTCTGTGGCCAGCCATTAATCAGGAACTGTCAGTTTCATCTCTGTAGACTCTTCTCTGTTCCTCTCTTCTAAGCACTGCTAACACTGCTGCTTCAGAAAAGCTCTCAAACTTGGACATCTGCAGTATTCTCCTAACTGGTCGGTCTCCTCATCTTTAGACTTGGCCTCTTTCCAATCCATTCTCCCCATATCAGTTTAAAACAGGAGAAATCCTTCTTCCTATAGGGCAAGATCTAAACTCCTTAGAGTTAGGTATAGGTTGAGAGTGCAAATGCTTGAGCCTAACTGCTTGGATTCAAATCCTGACTCCACCACTTACTAGCTATCTGAAGGGCAAGTCACTTAGCCTTTCAGTGACTAAGTTTCCTCAACTGTAAAATAAGAGTAGAAATTGACTCTGTCGTGGGATTACTGTAAGGGTTAATTGAATTAATACTGTACATGTAAAGTGCTTAACAATGCCTGGCACAAAGTAAACACAGTGATGGTGGGTACTCATGGTAGGATAATAATACACAGTATTTGTGTCAAATAAATAAAGATGACCAGGACTCACCTTGTCTTCCAGAGACTGACAGTCTGAAGGTAAACAGATTACTTCTTAGGATCAATGCTGTTATAAATTTGAACACAATCCTAAATGATTATGGAATCAGGAGAAAATTGTAGAATCTTGTGATCTAAAAATGTTTTTTCTATTAAATTTTTTAATTTTATGGATGTATAGCAACTCAAGTTCCCAAATTCAACTTAGTACCTCTCAAACCACAAGTTCCTCATACATGAAATCTGTAGATTCATGATTTTGCTCCTGTATACCCTTACAGTGACAATAAGCAATTTGGTTCTAGTATGTGTGAACATTTAGGTCCCTTCTCTGAGGAATAATTTGAAAAAAGAGAAACTGGCATTGAACAAACAAAAGGGAAGAGACATGAGCCACAGAAGAATAGTAGAGAGTTTGCAGTAAAGTCGCAGGAAAGAAGACAATGGTAGAGTACCCAGTGGTTTTGAAGGATGTGGGCTACTGAGGTGTAAGAGTTGCTGATGGAGGTGGTATGGGGGAGGCTGCAGGACACGGCAGAATGCATATAAATTTAGTATGACTTATAAGTACATATGAATTCAAAACAGCACTGAACATAGTTTAAACAAGAAACACAGTTGAGGAACTGCCTTTTGGGGTTGGAGGCAGAAAAATGTAGTGTTTGAATTTAGGCTCAAATTAGTAAGTTTAGGCCATTTACTAACACTGTGACTTGGGGAAATTATTTAACTTTTCTAAGTCTCAATTCTCATCTGGAAGATGGAGGTTGTAATAGTACTAATCAAATAAGGTAGTTAGGATTAATTGAGAAAGTGCCCTAAAACACTTTGCTGGTAATTTACAAATAGCAAACACCTAGTAAGGTTAGTTCTTGCTATTAGTGGTGATTATTAATATAGTGTTTGCTTTCTTCAGTTAAGAAAAATGAATTTACAGATACCTCAGTCAAATTTGGGAAGAAGAATATAGTACAGTGCTTGTTATTTCCTAGATGGCAGGTAATGTTACTAACATTTATTTAGAATATGCTGCCTTTTGTTTTCCTATTCTAGGGAATGTAAAATATTATTACAGAGTTTCATAAATATATCACTTACCTCTTTCCCCATCCTATTTTTCACATGCAGGTTTAAGTTCCTGCAGAACTTAACCTATAACTGAAAAATATATCCTGCAACTAAAGAGCTATAGAATTCCAGAACTCCTTGATTTTATTACCTAATTTAATGATTATAATAATGGGTAACACACCAGTCTTACTAATAGTGCTTCTAAAGTGCTTAAATATTTTTGATATTCTCCCTATTGTCATGTGTACCCTGTTTTATTCTTTCCAGGTATTTAATAATTTTAGGTAACTAAGATAAACAGTTTGATTTAGCATACTTTATTATGAGTGATGTATTACAGGACATCCCTTATGGGACACGTTCCCTCTCCAGCTCACTTAGGTGACTGCTGCATCCCCATGCTCCCATAAATCCTATACATTCTCTCTCTCTCTTTATCCTTTTAACTTATCTGTACCTTCAAACAAATTTCAAGCACTTAGGCCTTGATGGTAAGAATGGTGTCATGCAAAGTCAAGCAGGAAAAAACTCAGTAGATACTCAGCTAATTTTTGTTAAGTGAGTGAATGAATGCTGCCCTCTTACATCATTTATCCAGTTCTTAGGCCATGGTCAGCAGTGTACCAGTAACTGATTCAATTAATTATTCAATTAAGAAGGCCTTTAGAAATAGGTAAAGTAAAATAAAGATAAGAAATAAAATTTAACAGTAGAATTAATAGTAACCTAATTCGAAAACTGCTGTCTGTGAAATAGCTGTCTTTCTTTCCAAAGAAGGTCTCCTGCCCTTCCTCAGATGCCAAATGCCTTACGCTAGTTACCTTGTTGCTGACTACTCAGTAGCCTGCATAAGGTGACAGGTCCAGCCTTCCACCCTAGAAGACTGAAGAGGACTCCTGACACACTGGCTATAGTTTGAGGCCCTGAATTCAGAGCTGTATACCTTACATACTTCAACTCTTAAGGATACTATAGGTGATGTTAGGAAAAGTAATAGGGTAGACAAGAAAAATGTTTAGCATGTATGTCTAGTAATTGAGCATTCATCTCTTTGTTTGTAAGAACTTGAATTATGATACATTATTATATAATCAAATGATAGATATAAATCAACATCAAAAATTGCCACCTGGGCCACCCAGCACATGCTGTGTTAACCCAATATGAGACCTGTCTTCTTCACACGTGACAAATAATCAGAAACAGGAAAGAGTTTGCAGGTGTAACAGGAAGCAGCTTAAAAGATTGTCCTGGCATCACCTGTAGCCTCAATATATACCATTTGCCTCCCAGCGTGATGACTTTCAGCCATAGGTCACAAATGGGCCTTAGAACCTTAACCCAGTGTGTTGCAGCCTTCCCCCTCCAAGTACCCCTAGATTTGCTGCCATTGGCCGGTATCCAAGAAGAAGGCTTGAACAGCTGTCCTGAGAAGTGGGTTTTCCCAATTCAGGCTGGCAAATGGGGAGTTTGAGCTGCTTTGTTATACTCCCTGCCTCTGGTAAATGGTAATAAAGTATTCTGCTCTCTGGTACTGTGTATTTTCTTTTTTGGAATTATGTAAATATCTTTAGGATCCTTTTAATGCAGGAGGTGAGAAATCATCCTTCTAAAGAGAGTTGATTTCAGCTTTTTTTTTTTCTTTTTCTTTTTGATTTCAGCTGTTTTTTTCTTTTTCTTTTTGTCTCTCCCAGACAGTAAGGATTGTATCCTGGAGCCGCTTTCCCTGCCAGAAAGTCCAGGTGGCACCACCAGTTTAGAAGGTTCTCCATCTGTGCCTTGTATTTTCTGTGAAGAACATTTTCTTATAGATGAACAAGACAAACTTCTGAAGCACATGATCATTGAACATAAGACTGTCATAGCTGATGTTAAGTTGGTTGCTGATTTCCAAAGGTAAATTTTGTTTTTATCCATAAAAGAATTGTTTATTATTTCTTAAAGGTATAACATATATAAAATTATTCCTATAGAAATATGAAAATTCATATTATCAGGTTTCACCTTAGTCTTTTTTAAACTTTGTACTTATTTGCCTTCTTGAGTGTGTAAGTTATGTTTGAAAATGTCACATACCTTTGCATGTCCTACAAATTCTGGAAGCAGACCAACTTTCCAAAGAGTCAATAATATTCCCTTTACCACATTCCATGAAATTTTGGACATTGTTGATCTCTATCAGATTGATGTTCTTTTCATGTTTCAGGACATATGCATTCTCCAACTAAGTGAGTTCTTCCAGAAAGGTGAGAATAGACTTGGTAAAAGGCCACCCAAAGGGCAGTTTTGGGGGAAAGAGATACTTGGAGCCTTTTAAGCCAAAAGCTTATCATCCAAACAACTGTCAGCTTAAAAGCTGTTATATGGTTGAAAACCAGGAAAATATTGAGTCTTTCAACAAGCCAGAGGGCCATAAGAGTAGACAGCAATTAAGGTCAGTGGCTGAGGTACTTAGAGGAAGAGGATGAAGAGTAGATAGAGGTGAGTAGTTGAGGAACTGCCAACATTAGGCATGTGTGAAATGTAGGAACCTGACCTATACAGCCAGGCCCCCAAAGTGAGCTAATTATAGTCACTAATTCTAGAATAATTCTTGGTAGTGATTGTCTAAGAGAAATGCCTTCTCTTACGCAGGTATAGTGGAGTAGTTATGTACAGGTCATTATTAGTTGAAATTTGGAATCATTTTCCATATAAACAATATCAGTATAGTTAACTGGCTTTGTATAGTTACTGAAAGCACATATTTTGGTGTATCTGGTAGGGTCCCATTTTGAGATGTTCTGCATTGATTTCCCTACAAAACGTTAGAGTAGCCCAGATATTATAAAATCCCTGCATCTAAACTCTGTATCTCCCAGACCACATTATTCTTAGCAAGCAACTTGTTTCTTAGAATGGGTTTTGCAAGCAGCAACCTGTATTATTAAGAGTGGACTGTGAAACCTGGAAGGCCTAGGATTGAATGCAGACTCGGTGACTTTCTTATTACCACATGGCTTCCAGCAAGCTACTTACCACTCTAAGCATCAGTTTTCTCATCTATAGAACGGGGGTAACACCAGCCCTCATAATATTATTGAGCATTATATAAAACAGGGCATGTAGAGCACCAGTGTCTGAGATATGTTTTATACACAATAAATGGTAGCCAAATTTTTAATTATATTTTGATTCCAAAAGATATCTTTGAAGTCTTAGCTTCCTGCAACTGTAGCTTAAGATTTCAATAGGCATTTATGCTGGTCTGAAGACCTAATTATCGTTTGTAAAATTTGTTGAGAAATTTTCATTTAAGTTTCTAAGTACTCTAAACGTCTAGAATGGCAGTTTGTTTTTAAGGGCAAATAGCCACAGTGCTCAAAGGGGTAATATTAGTTATTCCCTAGCCCTTCTTGTCCTTCTCAGATGCATAGCACCAATAATGAATGTCTGCTGTGTGCCTTCTCTGTTATGGCCCCTTATATGCACTCAGCATTGCTACTTGTGAGTAGACTTTGGGGCTGTATGGTTAGGGGGCAGAGACAGTAGGGGAGGAGAGTTATATGAACGATACGTGCCACCAACTACTGGAATAAACTAATTCTTACATGCTTTCAGACCGTTCTCATCCTCGTTCTTCTCATCCTCGTTCGTTATTCTTTATTTTCAATTAAAATTTATACGTGTGTATATATGTATATACACATGTGTGTGTTTGGGGAGTATTCTGGGAGTTTTCTCTTATATGATACCTAGTTATAGGTGGTCAGATCTGTCGATTTTGTTTTAGACACTTCTTAGGCTAGAGAGCTTTGAATTCTTTTCTTCAAATAACCATTGACAGGACTATCAAATGAGTTATTCTTTTATAAATTTTGTATCACTTGGCCTTTCTTTGATGTAAAACTTTTTTTTTTTTTTTTTACTCTTTTTTACCACATAAATGCAAATTCTCCCTCAGGAATTGCAGGAAAATATGATGATCAACCAGTGATAATTGAGTAATGTTAAGATTTTCTTTCTCTTCTAAAATCTGTGAGAAATGTCTGAATCAGTTCGTATTTTATCCTTTGTACTTATGTATGATGGCTAAGTGGCTATATTTGTACTAATCAATCTCTCTTTTATCATTGTTGTCAATCTCATCTGTATGTGGGCAGGAAAATCAAATTACTTACTAGGTCTCAGGGCTTAGGAGTTAATAATTAAATATTGAGATCAATCACACTATAAATGCAGTTATGTAATAAAATGGATGCTTTAATTAAAAAGAAAACAATGCATGGCTGATATAAGTGCTTTCTAAATAAAGTGTGTAGTTAACATGTACTTTAAATTTGGAAACCTAGACTGTCCTTGTCAACCCTCCTCCTGATTAAATAAAAGTTTCACCCTCAGGAAGTAAAAATGTGATTAATTCACACTGACCAGGAATGGATATGACTAAACTTTGTTGTTTTTAAATACCATTTAATATATTAACAATGTTGTGATTAACAATGTTGTGTTAGTTTCCAGTGTACAGCAGAGAGATTCAGTTATACAAGTATCTGTTCTTTTTCAAATTCTTTTCCCATTTAGGTTCCACAAGGACCTACTGTATATAGCACAGGGAACTCTGCTCAATATTATGTAACAACCTATGTGACTTTTCCTTAGCAGTTATTGAGGGGAGGGAGGGATAGTGAGAGGTTCAGTTGGCATGAGTTAATTCACTCAGAACTACTTAATAGGTTGAATAATTCTTATATATATATAAAACTTCTCAGAGAGGAGTTGTTGCTTCCGAGTACAATAAGTAATAAAGACGATAAATAATAGATAACAGATGGACTTACCTTGTCCTTTGTAAGAAATAAGCTCTAAAGTTTCCGTTTAAATATATTTAACATTTTCTTCATTGGAGCAAAGTAACAGTAAAATTTTCTGAGAGCAAATAAAACAAAAACAAAAGTAAAAGTCTCTCCTTTGAGCCATTTATTAACATAGTTATTTATACTGAGCTACTTGCTAGCTTTATTCAGTAGATAAAATTTTTCCAGAAGAAAAATGTTAACTCCTTAATTCTTGCCCCTTTCTATATTAGAGTCCACTCATTCAGTGCTACTTAATTAACAATTGTATCTCAAATCTTTATGCTTCTGTCAATAAGCACACCAGTTACAATGGGGAGCTGGGCAGGCAAGATGATATTACTACAAGGATTTCTTGTGAGATGTGATTAAAGTTCTTTTAAAAGAAAGTATTTGCTGATGACCTAATAATTACTTTTATGGCTTTTTAATAAAATATGATATGCTGTGATAACTGTCCTCCAAATAAAGGGTTCATACCACATATTATTTCTTGGCTTCCTTTATATATTGAGTGGTTGCTTTAAACAAACTAAAAGAAGTAGGAAAAAATGACGAAGTACTAAATGATTTCTTAACATGGAACAATAAATTTTAGTGGGTGGGAAAACGTGCCACCAGTGCATGTATTGAACATCTGCTATCTTTAAGACATCTCTCAATTGAATACAGTTTATCTGAATGCTTTTACCAACCACAGGGAAATGGATATATTGATACCTCTTAATTTTAATTATAAACTAAAAAAGTACTATTATGTGATAACTAGGATACATCTTAAATTTAGACTTAGGTCAAAAGTTTGTTGCAGTTCAGATCTATTTATATAGTATACCACAATAAGATATGATACATAATTGTATATATTTAAGTTATATGGTAGTTTATGGTTGTACTTTGCTTTTGTAACATGATTCTTTTTCCATTTGATGTTATTGTCACCCAGCGTTTGGTCAGGAGGAGACCACTCAGATGACACCTTTTTGCCTATTGGACTGGCCTATTACCTGCTTTATCCTTCTTCCCCCAGAAGCTACCTAACAGCATCTCAGAGATGCTCTAAGAGATGGTATCTGAAAAACATCCTTTCCAGAATTCATGACCACTTGTTCATGGAGCAATAAAATAGCTTTTAACCAATGTAAAGACTACCAGACATGAGCATATAACAGTATCTTCTGTCTCTTCATCCCATTGGACGCCTTAACTATTTGAAGAGGGTAACTGAGGTTCTGTCAGACAGAATCTCCCCATGATTTTAAGTCAGCCGATGTTAGTAATCATTTCCCTTGTGCCTACCACACTGAGGTAAACTGTATTACAAAACAAATACGTGATGGGAACCTTCTCTTCAAAGATCAAGGAGAATAGGACCCAACATGCAAGTCCTTAGAGACTAAGAGCCATTGACTTTTAGAATCAGGACATCAGAGGAATCAGTGCCTCTGTAGGCACTGTACCTTTTGCCTAGTCAAGCAGTTCCAATTCAACAGCCCCAAACAGCTGGTGTCAACTTTCAATACTTGGGCAGGGAGTTAGGAGCAGTTCAGACCAAGAGCTGCTTTTAGGTAGTATGCTTTTCAGAAAGGGAAGACCTTCCCTCTCCCTTCAGACTTCATGTCTATACTTCAGTTTTGCCATGTCAAAAAGCATTCTCCTTGGTCTCTAAGGAAGAAAATTCTTCAGGTATCCATTACAACTGTAATTCTAGAGGCTTTCTCCTGTTTCTGCCTTTTTCTGAAATTCTTGTGTAGATTGGTCCTCACGTGACACGAGAGGCATTGTGTTGTAGAAGACTTGAGTTTGGATTTGGAGACAACAGATCCCAATTCTAACATTCTAATTATGTGACCTTGGGCAGGTAGGGTCTCAGTAATGGTAGCTGCTAATAATTGATATCCTTCTGATCCCCATCATCATCATCACTCTACTCTTCCCCGCCTCAGCCACTTGTGTGTGCCCTCTGACACTACTCATATAACTATTTTAACTTGCTCATTAAATGTTTGATGAAACATTATCATTGTTGTTTTTGTTGTTGTTTTAGATACCAATATTTCTCTGGAATAAACAAATTCTTTACTACTTTAATCTTATCTAAATATGTTACTTTTTCTTATAATAATAACTTTCATTTATTAAACACCCAGCATGGTGGACACTGTTTTACATGTGTTATTCTGTTTAATTATCAACAATCCATTTTGCAAATGAGTAAGCTGAGTGTCAGAAAGGTTAAAAAATCTTTTAATTCAGGTTCATATCTCTGAATGCAAAGTCCCTACTTCTCTCTTCCCTGTTGCCTGCAGGGCTGGTGGAGTCAGTTAATAAAACGTCAACCACAAGGGTTGGACCATCGTCTTAATTTAAAAAGCACAACTACTTCTAGCTCAAGATCTGTGCAGATAAGAGACTCTTATTGTGTTGACTCTGTTAAAGAATTAGTCAATGACAATTCAAAGGACAGTCAGGTCACTAGTATCTGCTCTTACCTGGTCATCTGCTTCATGTAATTATCACTGCCTTTTAACGAACTGTAGGCTCATAGTGGAAATAATATAAAGGGCTGACAACAACTATTCTGTTTTCTCCAGAGGGTGGCACCCACACAGCCTTCAGTGGAGTAGTAATCAAGAGTGATGAACCTCTCCTTGGTGTATTCTAGTGGGAGCCATGAGGAAACTCCAGATAAAACTTGACTCCCTTTTCTTTTTCCCCTGGAGGGGAAGGAAAAGCAACTAGTGGGGAATGGAAAAGAGGAGAATAAGAGTAACTGTGTAAGATAACTGGGGAGTGGAGGGTGCTGAAGCTGGCCAGGATGGCAAAGGGAATAACGTGTCAGCCTTTTGTAGGTGCTTTTCCTGTTTTTGTGTACTCTGATGGACCTGAAATGCCTTCTGCTCTGATACTTCTAATGTGGGAGCCAGGGAGCTAGACATAGGGTCATGGTTCATCATTTATAGTATTTATGGTTTGAGGCTGAGCTGGAGCCTCAGATACATCATTTTCAGATCTCTTAAAATAAGGTCTAGCACTGTTTTATAAGGAAAGAGTTCTACCCCTTCTTACCCATCCAGGTTGCCAGCATGGTTATACATGAGAAGGAAGAGCTAAAGCATGTGGTTCTATTGTTATACATTATTCTTTTACTTCTTTATTTTTATAAATTTACTTATTTTTATTTATTTTTGGTTGCATTGGGTCTGCTGCTGCACATGGGCTTTCTCTAGTTGTGGCGAGTGGGGGCTACTCTTGGTTGCGGTGCGTGGGCTTCTCATTGCGGTGGCTTCTCTTTTTGTGGAGCATGGGCTCTAGGTGCGCGGGCTTCAGTAGTTGTCGCACGTGGGCTCAGTAGTTATGGCGCACAGGCTTAGTTGCTCCATGGCATGTGGGGTCTTCCCAGACCAGGGCTCGAACCCGTGTGCCCTGCATTGGCAGGCGGATTCTTTACCACTGCACCACCAGGGAAGCCCATCTTTTACTTCTTTTACTTATATATTCTATATTCAGTGTTGTCATCCATTTATGTTTTATATTAGTTCATGTCACGTTTCTCTCTTTCTCTCAGACCTCTCTCCCGGCACATTTTTTTTTCCTAATGTATAATGAATGCCCTTTCTATAGAGCACCATGGGTTGGGAAAATAAGAAAAAGAGAGATTCAAAAGGAGTCAAAATATTGGGAGCTGGAGAACTACTTAGAGAACCTTACAGGAATCTTCAAATGCTCTTCTACCTCTTTAAAACATTTAGTGTGGACCTGCTATGTGCAGGACACAGGTGCTATATCAAGCCATTTAAATATACTCTTTCTGTGTGCTTTGTTTAACTAAGTTCCATCTCTTGTGCAGGTTTTGATCCTTTGTTGTAAGTTTCCTTCTTTATCCATCAACATGTAGCCTGATAAATTGTCAGCTGTAGAGTCAACCTTTCCATTTCCTTTTTCCCCCTTGAAGCAGATCACATTCTCTTCTTCTTCTTCTTCTTTGATAAATGAGATTGTAATTGTCAATATAAATCTTGTTAGATAAATGGAAAGATGAACAGCTTGTTGAATCCTGTCATCTTACTCCCTCTTTCATCAAATAATGCAGGTCTGGGTGTTATGCTTTGCTCTTACTTTTAGCCAATGTCCTTCTTCTAACTCAGCTCATTAGATACAGGAATTGCAAGCTTGGCTGTTTTTCTAAAAGCTAAATTTCAGACGCAGTGTGGATGTATGGAATTGTTCTATCTTGTTATATAGATATTGAATTTAGACTGACTTCTCATTGCATTATCATGATCTGTTCTTTTGATGTATAAGATAACCACCTAACTTTCAATTTATTGGAAAATGTGTGATAAAGCCTATTTAATCATTGTTGCATTTTAAATTCATATAAACTTAGATGTGATTTCAAGAAAACTTCATTATCACATAAAAATAATACATTTTAATTTTTCCATATGTCTCTTTATTGAATTTAGGGATGGTAAAATTTAATCATTTTCATGCCTTTACAGGGTAATGTCATTTCATTAAATATTTATTTCATATTTCTACAATGCTCTGCAGCCTTTCTATGTACAAATTTTCTAGCTAGCAGTTTTTAGTCAACATTTGATTTATTGCTTTAGGGTAATTAAATGTTCTTATAAAATCCTACCATTCTAAAGTAAGTAGTGTATTGAGTCTTCTCACCATTCTTTCTTTTTGATTGTTCTAAGGTACATTTCATATTGGAGGAAAAGGTTCACTGAACAGCCCATTACAGATTTTTGTAGTGTGATAAGAATCAATTCCACAGCTCCATTTGGTAAGTGTACATCTTGACTACCATCTTTTCCCTGCAATCCAAAAATTCAAAGGAATAATCTTTCTTAAATTATAATTCTCTAAAATAATAGCTAAAATTAAATTGCTCTGTTCATGTTGTATAACTTCAGTAAAGCTAAAACAGAACTATATACCAGAAGAGAGATCGTCATAGACATAGATAGATATATTTCTCTTAAGAAAGATAAATTTTTTTTGAAAAAGTGATAAATATCATTTCTTATTTATTTTCCTGATCTCTCAACAGAAGAACAAGACAATTATTTTTTGCTGTGTGATGTTTTACCAGAAGATAGAATACTTAGAGAAGAACTTCAGAAGCAGAGACTGGTAAGAGTTATTTTAAAGAATGAGCAGTGTGTTGGAAACACATACAAAATCATTTTTGTTATTGCCCTTTTTTGTTTGTTTTTATTCTGGAAACTTTCAAACATACACAAAAGAGGAGATAATACATAAAGATCTTAAAACAGGAAAGGTAGACACTTGATTGAAGATTAAAGCATTTCATGTTAAAAATGCAGAGAGAATTTTTGGCTTTGTTTTGCTTCCTGGATTATCTCTAAAATAACAACAGAGCTTACACATTTTAGTGTAATTTTAGCTGCCTGACACATGCTAGGGTTCAGCAATCGTGGAAGAATGCCCTCAGCTAAAATTGAGTTGAATTGATTAACTTTTTTTCTCCCCCTGGAATGTGCTATGCACTAGCACTTCTTTTGTTCCCCTTTATGAATTAAGCATATAGTTTGATCATAATAGTCTTTCTCATTTTCAGCCTTAACGATAAGGAAGCTGATTTGAAAATCTCAGCATCTTTAGTCTTTTAAAAAGATAACAGCATATACAGGTGTGAAAATTTTCATTTTCAGAAGTTGAACAGAAATTGGTTAATTTTTTGAAGTTAGTAATTTTATTTAAAAGTATCCAGTTTTCCATTATTTGTCACTAAATCTCAACTATTACTTGAAAATGACTTGCTCTTCCTTTAGTGGTTACTTATAAGTGTTCCCTGTATTTGGACTTGGCTAGATATGTTGTGAAAGAAAACTATGATTTCAGTGTTTCTGCTAAATCCTCAAGAGATCTAGGAGGAAAATAAATCCTGTCTACCAAAGTCATAAGATTTGAGAAAGTCCCCTGAAGCACATTATATTATGTAAACATGAGATGATGTTGTTGGATACTGATTTATATAAGAAAAAGTATGCTTTTCCTATAGCAACAAACCCAGTGAAGAAACAGGACTTCCTGAGTTTCTCTTCTTTCCCT